ACTGAGCCAGCCAGGCGCCCCCTAGACCACATACTTGAACATAGCCAGGAAAGACAGAATAGTTGTTCCCACATAGCTACCTCTTACCTGGTATCTTCTTTTATTTATCTTTTTTTTAAGATTTTTTATTTATTTCTTTGACAGACAGAGAGACAGCAAGAGAGGGAACACAAGCAGGGGGAGTGGGAGAGGGAGAAGCACGCTCCCCACTGAGGAGGGGCCGGTTGCGGAACTCGATCCCAGGACCCTGGGATCATGACCTGAGCCGAAGGCAGACGCTTAACCGACTGAGCCACCCAGGTGCCCCTTACCTGGTATGTTCTCACTCTCTTGACCAGAGGTACTTGCTTTTCCCAGGGGGCACAGCTCTTTCTGAGGCTGCTCAGAGCCAGGTGTTATTGGTATTTGTTCTGAATCACTTTCTTCCTTTATTTGTTTCTCGAGCATCACCTTTTTAATGTGAAGGTCACATATAAATGGTATCAATGACATTTCTCTAGTGCTTTAGAGCTTACAAAGTATCTTCACATGCATACCTTGGTTAATGGCCTCAACAACTCTGGGAGATCATTATATCCCCTGTACCTAAATTATGAGTAAGGTTAGAACAAAAAGGAATGGCTTAAATGAAGGGTGTTTCCAGGACTAGAACGTTTGTCTTCACCCATTCTTGCAAACAGCAAAATGCTCCACTTAAGTGGAGTGTGGTATACAGAAAATTTAAGGAAGAGTAGCATTCTAAGAATCCACGTGGTCTCTAGAAGAAAGGAGGGGCTTCTATAAAATATAAGGGATTGCATATAAGCTAGTAGAGAGCTGCTGGGAGAGTAAATGTAAAAATTCACAGGGGGACAGAACACTGCTGGAAAATGGTACAGGGGAGATGAGCACAGGGGAGAGGAAAGGAATGGTTCACAGCAATTAATATAGACAGCAAAGAAAGCAGCGCCAGATGTCATATTCTGTCCTGCCCTGGCAAGAACGGTTAATGGGAAATTAGACAAGATGGTTCCCGTACCAATTTTGCTTGCGTCATGGTGCGTCACTGACCAACAATCTTAAGCTACCTTTCCTTCAGCTCCCTCATTGAGGAAACAGTGAACAGGAAAAGTAAAAGAAGCTAAGGGAAAGTACTTTCTGAGCTTGCAAACACTTTCCAATGTGGTAATAATGAAAATGAATACTTTCTCTTATGATCCTTCTTTGAATTGTCTCAAAGGTCCCCACACTGGCAATCCAACTCCCCAGGGCCTTGACCCTCTAAAGTAGAGTTTAATCTACAACTGCGGAATCACTTACTCAAGGAACAATTTGGGGCATCTCAGAGGGTCCCCCTGGGCCGGGTCGGTGGCTTCAGAGATGCCTCAGGTGCAGACAAGGCCCCAAAGGAGCTCATAGCAGGGAGGGGCAGACAGCCCACCATTCTCAAGCCGGGAGAGACCGGCCCTGCCACAGAGCAGAGGGGAGCTGGTACTTTCTGTTTCGAGAGTGGGTGTCTAATTGGAAGCATCAGCAGCTACTGTGGGGTAAAGCCTTTGCGGCGGCAGGCAGGGCAGGGGAGCCCCTGAACTTCATAAACACATGAAAAGTTTCATGAGCTGGAAAATCATTCGGGGCTTTTCTTAAATTGTCCTGTGATTCATTAACAGTGTTTAGCAAGAACAATAAACGCTTTAAAAAAAGAAATGTTTCAAATGTACAGATTACTACCACTGCCTCTGTGGTCTCAGGCAAATTACTTAGAATCTCAGCACCACAATATCCTCATCTTTATGATTAGTTGTTATTATTATTAATATCCTCATTATTATCTGGGAATAATGATAGGAAAACGTCATAGAGGTTTTCTGAAGGATTAAAGAAATTAATCCTTGTGAATTGCTTAAAATATCTGACATCACTATGAAAATAAAAGTAGTATCAACTATCACAATTGTTCATTATTAAGCCGTTGATGCTACATCAGGAATTGTGATAAAGAGATCAGGAAAGGGAGGCAGTGAGGGCTAGGCTATATTCAATATTCTCCCACTCTTACCGATATTCACATCCATGGAGGGAGAAAGAGTCTCTGGTTCTTTAGATTTGGGAGATACTCACCTTCATTTGCATTTGATCTTGCACATCAGAAGGCCCCTCAGGAGGTTCACCTGAAAGAAAGTGATAAATGGGAATTTTTCTTTGTTGGCAAATAGTCCCAAACTCCTTGGGTGCCTGGGTGGCTCAGTTGGTTAAGCAACTGCCTTCGGCTCAGGTCATGATCCTGGAGTCCCAGGATCGAGTCCCGCATCAGGCTCCCTGCTCAGCGGGGAGTCTGCTTCTCCCTCTGACCCTCCCCCCTCTCGTGCTCTCTGTCTCTCATTCTCTCTCTCTCAAATAAATAAATAAAATCTTTAAAAAAAAAAATAGTCCCAAACTCCAGAGACTCCTGTAGTATCAGGGAATTCTGCAGGAAAGGGTTATGAGTCCACTTATTGTCAAAGAGTTATTTTGAGATTGGCTTTTGAATTATCTTTAAATCATGGTTTATACATTTATTTGTAGCACCAATTCGTAATTTTCCTTCTGATGATTTATAAAATGTGAACCAAACCCCATCACTGCCTCATCCTATTCTACTACATATTTCTTACCTTTCCCCGCAAAGAATTACACTGATTGAATTAATTAAATTAAATTGATTGCATTCACTTAAAGGGATGTGGCAACTAAAATCACTGTCCACTTAAACCAGGTAAATTTTATAGTATGCCAATTTTACTTCAACAAAGCCGTTAGGTGCATGAGGAATTATGGGTGATTTGCCCCATTGGTTCTGGAGTATTTCTAGTATAAAGATACTCCTTTAGGGACACCTGGGTGGCTCAGTAGGTCAAGCATCTGCCTTCGGCTCAGGTCATGATCCAGGAGTCCCGGGATCGAGTCCCGCATCAGGCTCTCTGCTCAGCGGGGAGTCTGCTTCTCCCTCTGACCCTCTTCCCTCTCATGCTCTCTATCTCTCATTCTCTCTCTCTCAAATAAATAAATAAAATCTTAAAAAAAAAAAGGTACTCCTTTAGTGTCAAAAGCTTTGTAGAGTCTCAAGAACTGGATTTTCAGCCCTCTCAGCAATTTTGGGAGCTTGTAGAAGCTGGCCTGTTTTCCTGGAGAGTCATAGGTCTGTTGGGGACAGTTTGGCAATTCTGTCTCTGCTTACCGCTGTGCTGTCAGAGCAGAAAAGCAAGGGAATACATTTCATCCCCTTTATGGTGAGTACACAAACTGATCAAATACACAAAGATTTCTAGAATCTGCTACCCTTTTCACCATATGTTACCTCTGCTCACTGATAAGGAGAAAAGCTAATGTGTGGAGGATCACTTTCTCAAACCCTCTCTCAAGCTCAACACATAGAATCAGGTTTGCTGAGGAGCAAGAAGACTATTTAGTTTAGGTAATACATAAGGAAATAGCTGTGTGTCATTTCATAATGCATTCATCGCTCTCTCTTAAGATATTTATCCAACACCTATGCCTTATTATGAAATTGACTCTGGAAGTCTTTTTGTGGATTTACACTTTTTTGAATTTAAATTTTATTTTTTTAAAGATTCTATTTATTTATTTAAGAGAGAGAGAGAGAGAGCACAAGCAAGCTCAAGTGGGGGGAGGGAGAAGCACAAGCAGACTCTGAGCTGAGCATGGAGCCCAATGTGGGGCACGATCCCATGACCCCGAGACCATGACCCGAGCTGAAATCAAGAGCCAGACACCCAACTGACTCAGCCACCCAGGCACCCCTACACTTTTTAATATTATTTATTTATTTGAGAGAGCAAGCGAGAGCACAGGCAAGGGGAGCAACAGAGGGAGAGGGAGAAGCAGACTCCCCCCGAGCAGGGAGCCCAACACAGGGCTCGATCCCAGGACCCCCATCCCTACACTTTTTTAAAAAAGTAATCTCTATGCCCAACGTGGGGCTTGAACTCACGACCCCGAGATCAAGCGTCCCGTGCTCTACTGACAGCCAGGCGCTCTACATGGATTTACACTTCAATTAAATTTTTCTTAATTGTCCTGTGATTCATTAACAGTGTTTAACAAGAACCATAACTCCTTTTAAAAAAGAAATGTTTCAAGTGTACAGAAAATTATGGAGAATAATTTTGGAAACACTTGCACATCTACCACTGACTCTACTCAGAACTTCCCATTATCCCACAACTGCTTCAGATTGTTCTGAGATCTTCATTCAAAATATAACCAAACACTATAAACAAGTCACAGCTGAAGCCATCTGTGCAGTCCTCACTGATCCCTGACCTCCCTCCCTCTGCACTCTTGAATTTTTTTTTAAGATTTTATTTTATTTATTTGACAGAGAGAGACAGCGAGAGAGGGAACACAAGCAGGGGGAGTGGGAGAGGGAGAAGCAGGCTTCCCGCTGAGCAGGGAGCCCGATGTGGGCTCGATCCCAGGACCCTGGGATCATGACCTGAGCCGAAGGCAGATGCTTAATGACTGAGCCACCCAGACGCCCCTGCACTCCTGAATTTGATGGGTTTTATTCTCATTCAGGGTTTATACATTTACCATTTACTTCTTATCCATAAAAATATATCCTCTTGTTTTGCATGTTTTGGGATTTTATATGAATGGCCTCTGACTCTACTTAACCTTCTAAATCCAACTTTTCTCACTCAGCCAAGATGCTTTTGAGGGAACAAACTCCCGAGAATCCTTCCCAGGCACTTGGACCCCAAAGCAATTGGGCTTCAGGAGACTCTGTCCAGGCCCTTCCTTCCACTCACCCTGATTCTTGGGGTTCTGATCTTCATCAGAATCACACCCACTGGATTGCTTGGCCCTTTTTTTAGAACACATGAAAGCTGGGAGAGTGGCCTTGAGACCTAGAGAGAAGCAAAATATTTGTTCCTTCAGAGACAGCCTGAGAGGACATATGTGGGGTAGAATCCTGGGAGGCAGTGGGGACAGGCAAGCTCATCAGCTGGGGGACTCCAAACAAGGGTGACCAGAAGAGAAACGGGCAGGATCTAGGTCTGAGCCTCTTTGTGGCCACTCCAGGTCCTCAGCCCTGCACAGAATACAAAAGAGCAGAGTGCCTCAAAGCTGCCCTGGGATTTCTCCCTGCACAAAAGGAAGATGCAGGGCACTTACTGTAGTCTAGGGAGAAGCCATGGCATGTAAGGGACTGAGGGATGGTCATGTGTTCCCAGGTTTGTCTGCACCCAGAACTTTCTCTTACCTAGACTAGTCATGGTGTCATAGTTTCTCTTCATGTACACATAGGTGATTTTATCTGAGTATCCAAGATTTGCCCACTCTTCCTTAGAGAAGTATTTGGAAATGTCCTTGAAGGCCTAGGGAAAAAAAAAAAAGAGCAGCAACTCAGCTAAACATGCCTGATCTTCGGCGGGGGTCTCTTCCTCTGCCACAGGACCTCCATGTTGGATCTGTGAACTGGGGAGAATAATCCCTTTCCTGGTTAATGTCAAGGCTAACTGAGAGAGCATGGGTAACATTCCCTATCCTTTCCCCAGGCATGCAGTAGATGCATAACGCTGGTGGCATGCTCTTTCACCTTCCAGAATGGATTGAGAGTCGCCAAATGCAGTGCAAGGTCATAAGACCGGTTGTTTCCAGAGATGCTAGGTGAGGACAGAGTGAAGGTGGGAAACTCCGGAGGCTCTGGATCTCCCCCTGACACCCTCCTTCTTTTCCCCAGTGCCTCTGACCTTGCCTCCTCAAGATCTAGTCCCTCTAGAGTATCTCCTGAGCCATTCCCCTACCCGCTCCAGATCACCTCACCTTGCATTTCTTCTCTGATTTCTCGGTATCCTCCTTGGAGTTCTTTGAAAAGGAGCCGCCTTTATTCATGGTGCTGGGAATAGTTTGATCTCGAAAGGACGCAGCCTAATCTCTCCAGCCACAAGGCCAAAGGTCCTGAGGAAGGGAGACAGCACTGAGGGTAGGTCACATTCAGTCAATCACCTGGAATCAAGGTTCTACTTTTCTCCATCCTGGGCTTATCTGTCCCTGAGAAAGGACAAGGGTGGGGGGAGTCAAACAAACAGGGAGCAAGACGCCTGCGTGGCTCAGTCGGTTAAGTCTGCCTTCGGCTCAGGTCATGATCCCAGGGTCCTGGGACAGAGCCCTGCATCAGGCTCCTTGCTCAGCAGGAAGCTTGCTTCTCCCTCTGCCTGCCACTCCCCTTGCTTGCACTCTCTCACTCTCTCTTTTTGACAAATAAATAAATAAATAAAATCTTTAAAAAAACAAAAACAAAAACGGGGATGCCTGGGTGGCTCAGTTGGTTAAGTGTTTGCCTTTGGCTCAGGTCATGATCCTGGGGTCCTGGGATCGAGCCCCGCATCAGGCTCCTTGTTCAGTGGGGAGCCTGCTTCTCCCTCTCCCTCTGCCCCCCCATTCATGCGCTCGCTCGCTTTCTCTCTCTGTCTCTGACAAATAAATAAATAAAATCTATTAAAAAAATTAAAACAAAACAAAAACAAAAAATAGGGAGCCAGAGATCTATGAAAGAAAGTATTGAGGGGCGCCTGGGTGGCTCAGTTGGTTAAGCGACTGCCTTCGGCTCAGGTCATGATCCTGGAGTCCCGGGATCGGGTCCCGCATCGGGCTCCCTGCTCAACGAGGAGCCTGCTTCTCCCTCTAACCCTCCCCCCGCTCATGTACTCTCTCTCATTCTCACTCTCTCAAAAATAAATAAATAAATCTTAAAAAAAAAGTATTGATTAGGGATGACAGGTTTTCTGTAAGCATGATCAAAGCAGCCTTAAGACTTTGAGAGGGAGTTGGCTACTGTTGTTAGTAGTTTGCCTGAAGTTTGGCTTATCCTGAAGGAAAGATATAAAGACGCTTATTGAGGAAGCAGTGAAGTGAACATGTAGTTTTATGGAGGGGGAGGGGGTGTGTTTTGAGGCAGAAGAATGGGGAGGTAAGTTCCATAGATTATATGGTGTCTCTGACAGATGGGTTTGGGTTTTCAGGCAGAAGGATGTGGGGTTTTGCTCTGTTGAAAAGAAATGAGGATCTCTAATATAGAGTGGATTTAGAGCCCATTACTAGGTTATTTGAAAATTATTAGTGTAAAGGGCGCCTGGGTGGCTCAGGCAGTTAAGAGTCTGCCTTTGGCTTAGGTCACGATCCCAGGGTTCTGGGATCGAGCCCCATATTGGGCTCCCTGTCCAGTGGGGAGCCTGCTTCTCCCTCTCCCTCTGCCCTTCCCCCTGCTTGGGCATGCTCTCTCTCTCTTTCTGGCAAATAAAGAAAATCTTTATAAAAAAACAAAATTATTAGTATGAAGAGAACTGGAATCTCCAAGACTACAGGATCAGCCTTCACTTAGGCTGAGAATGTGGAGAGTTTTATTTTTTTAAAAGATTTTATTTTTGTGAGAGAGAGAGGATGAGCACGAGCTGGGGTGGGGGCAGGGCGGGCAGAGGGAGAAGCGGACTCCTCACTGAGCAGGGAGCCCGATGCGGGACTCGATCCCAGAACGCTGGGATCACCATTGGAGCTGAAGGCAGACTCAACCCACTGAGCCACCCAGGCACCCCAGAGTTTGGAGGCTTTTAATGGAGCAGTCTGGTGTTCTCCACTGACGGCACTGGGAATCTCTTAGGGAAAGGAAATTTAGGGGTCTCTGAGGCCAAGAAAGTTTCTGCTTTATCCTGGAGAATGCAATAAAAGAGTCACTTAGGCAGTGGCTTTTATCTCTGGTTAAAGAAATCTAGGGGCAACTAGCTGATTTGGGGGTTTCTCGGGCTGAGGGGGGGTCTTCTTCCCTTAGGAAGAGCAATTAGAAAGTCTCACAGACCAAAAATAGTTTTAGTTTTATCTTTGCCCGACCGGGATTGCCCCAAAAGGCTTCGTCATTTCTCAGTCCTAAGGATCTTGAGGCTTTTGCGAGGTACAGCAAGAACTAAACTACTTGAGTGATCTACAGAGGTTCCTCACTTTTTTTTTTAATAATTTTTTATTGTTATGTTAACCACCATACATTACATCATTAGTTTTTGATGCAGTGTTCCATGATTCATTGTTTGTGCATAACACCCAGTGCTCCACGCAGAATGTGCCCTCTTTAATACCCATCACCAGGCTAACCCATCCCCCACCCGGTTCCTCACTTTTTTTTACCAGCCTATCTTCAACCTGTCCAAGATCGTCCAAAGAAAGCGCTTACCTAAGAGCCGAAGTGGTGGCGGTGAAAGGTCACTCCACGAGGCGAAATCCCACAATTCCACTGTCCAAGGGTAATAAACCGATCCGTACAGTTAATGAGCTTGAACTGTCCAATCAAGGGTTAGGAGAGTAGGCGGGGCAAGTGAGTCAGGAACGGGGTCTAAAAGTCCAGCTCCAGGGACAGGACCATCTTTTCAAAGTGGGTTGATTCTCCAGCTTGAAGCAGGATTGCTCTCTGCAAGAATTGGCCACTGCAGATACCGTAGGCCCCTTCCTGCGCATGCTCAGATGTTCCCTTCCCTTGGTGTACATCTCGCTATTCTCTGCTCTGCTTTTGTTTCGTTTTAATAAATGGTAAATATGAGGCCACCACCTCAAATCCTTGCTATCAGTCTCCAACTTCCTCAGATATGGGGCTCTTTTCTAGGACCTCTCTAGCGACTTAAGAAATTTTAAACTTTTTTTAGATTGAATTACTTTTGTTAATATACACATCAAATTATTGAAACAGTGACTTCATATAGTTGTTTCATTAAAGATAGCACTTGCGGGTATAAAGGTACAGAGATGTCTCCAGTCTTCATATGTTTACTTGAAAAGATTCTTCAACAGCAGTCTGATACTGCGTTTCCCACTCTAGATGAAGATGAACAAATTATCCATAATCAATCTGATGTCTTTGATTAGATGACTAACAAAATTTCTAGTAATTTGCCTAGGAGCTCCCCAGTGAAGAGACACACAAATAGGACACATCACAGGAACTATCTGAAATAGGAACTATCTGGTCATTGTTACAGTGATTCCATAAATGCTGTCAGATAAAATTTGATCTTTACAAAAGGGACACTTAAAGGTGGGATGCCCAGAAAAACTCGTGTTTTCTTGACAAGTCTCTGTTTCTCAGAGGTGAGTGTTTCACTCCTATTACTGTTCCCTACTGAATCTTGAGAGATCTGAAAGTTTGGAATGGGAGAGTAAACACCATATTCATCTTGATACTTCTTATTTTTTTTAAAGATTTTATTTATCTGACAGTGAGAGACACAGCAAGAGAGGGAACACAAGCAGGGGGAGTGGGAGAGGGAGAAGCAGGCTTCCCGCTGCGGGGCTCGATCCCAGGACGCTGGGATCATGACCTGAGCCTTATTTTTAAGAAGATTTTATTCATTCATTTGACAAGGACAGAGAGAGAGAGCTCACAAGCAAGAGAAACAACAGGCAGTGGGAGAGGGAGAAGCAGGCTCCCTGCTGAGCCGGGAGCCCAATGCGGGGCTTGATCCCAGGACCCTGAGATCATGGCCTGAGCCGAAGGCAGACTCTTAACTGACTGAGCCACCCAGGAGTCCCTTTTTTAAATTTAAAAAAAGTTTTTAAAAGATTTTGTTCATTCATTTGACAGAGAGAGCGAGCACAAGCAAGGGGAGTGCACAAGCAAGGGGAGTGCAGGCAGATGGAGAGGGTGAAGCAGGCTCCCTGCTGAGCAGGGACATTTTGATACTTCTTAACAACATTTGTAATGATGGCTCAAGTAATAGAATTTGTTTTGCACAGCATCTGCAGCTACCAGAAAAATTCCTCATGCTAGTTTCAAGGTCTAAGGCTTGTTCAGGACAGTCTCTCTCTCTCTCTTCTAGTCACATTTCCATAACAGAGGGGCTAGCGTATTCTGCTTTCCCTTGTTGCAGTCAGAAAACATTTTCTACAGAAGATGTGCTGTGAGGCCATGGCATAAAACAACAGAAATTTATTTTATCACAGTTCTGGAGGTTAGAAGTCTAAAATTAGTTTCTCTGGGCTGAAATCAGAGTGTCAGCAGAGCTGCACTCCTTTCAGAGACTCTAGGAGAGAATCTGCTCTTTGCTCTTCTGGCTTCTGGTGGCTGCCAGCATTCCTTGGCCGTGGCTGCATCATTCTAATCTCTGCCTCCATGGTCACACCCCCCCTTCTCTTCTGTTGGTGTCAAATTTCCCTCTGCCTCCCTCTGATAAGGACACTTGTGATACATTTAGGACCCACCCAAATAATCCAGGATAATCTCCTTATCTCAAGATCTTTAACTTAATCATATCGGCAAAGTCTTTTTTGTTATTATTGTAAGGTAACACACAAATTCCAGAAAATAGAATATCTTTGGGAGGGATTATTCACTCTCCTGTAATCTGCCCTCTGGTCCCCAAAGATTCATGTCCATTGCACACATAAAATGCATGTACTACATCACCAAATCCCCCAATTTCTCAATACATTGCAGTATGAACTCAGGTCCAAAATCTCATTTAATATTATCAGCTCAAAAATACCAAATCTCATCACCTGAAATAGGTATGGATTAAACTCTGGGTATGATCCATCCTGGGTCAAAATTCCTCTTTGGATGTGGACACTAGAAATCAAGTTATCACTCCTAGAGGGAAAGATGGCAGAGTAGAAATATCCTGAGCTCACCTCCTCCTTCCAGAGACACATCAAGGCTATAACTACATCTGGAGCAACTCTTTCTGAGAATGACTTAGAGACTAGCAGAAAACTCTTCCACAGCCAAAGAGATGAAGAAAAAGTCATATCAAGAAGGGGGGCGCCTGGGTGGCTCAGTTGGTTAAGCGACTGCCTTCGGCTCAGATCATGATCCTGGAGTCCCGGGATCGAGTCCCACATCGGGCTCCCTGCTC